CGGGGGCGGCTGCGAGTAAAAACAATCAATCAACGAGTGCACGCGCGTGTGTTGCAATTCGAAAATTGCGCGAGCAACCCTTCGCAACGTGCGCGCGTCACTTTACATAAATTATCGCTTCCGCGCGGGATATAATCTCAGCGGGGGATGTGTGCGATTTTTGCAGAGTAAAGAAAAAAATAAAATAACGAACGGAGGGTGGATTGCGATATCAGATGTGGTGGAGCTGCAGAAGCCAAGTACAAGCTTGCCCTTATATAGGCGTTGGATGTTTTCTACTGCCGGAATGGCACACACTACACGACGAGGATTAGACACGAAATACTACGGTTCACCTGTACGCTTCTACAGTAGTCTCGCTTCGTTTGTTGTTTTAATGGGGCTTAAGGGAATGTTATTGCTCTGCTTGTAGCCTGTATAATTCTAAAGCGAGGCTCGTTTAGTCGCCAGCCTATATGGCCGGTAATTTAGTCGTTTTTTTCATGATCTATATTTACGTACTATCAACGGAGATCTGGAATGGATATTAGAAGCCGCATATCTGGCCGAAAGTTGACTGAATTTTCCAAATTAATGTTCATCCACGAGGTGCCGAGTAAACGGAGCTTGCAAGCCAGATGACTGAAAATTTGTCAAGCAGTGGCTGCCGTCCGCTTATCCAGCCGAAAATGATAAGCGCCCCCATAACAGCGCCCACATCGAGCGTTCGCGTGCGCACATGTGTTGGTTGTCTGCAAGCCAGATAGCCATCCTATCTCAGTTGCAGCATCCGTACGTCAGCGTGGGCGAGCACCAGCCAGATACAAGCCTCCGCTCAGGAATCCAAGTGCACAACCGCCAGATACAGAGTATGTGTGTTTGAGAGGGTATGCATGTGCTTTTGCCCCCGAAGCTCAGGCTTTACACAAAACCGCGTCGGTAACAGCTGATTCCCCCTTCCCGCTGAGGGGACGCCGCCGCGTGAATTCCAGCGTCCTTTAATTTGCTTCCATCCCCGAAATCGCATTTCTCGCGAGCGTGCCGAGCAGAGAGCAACAAGAATGCGCCAGGCAACCCCGATCCAAAACTCATCCCTCGGCGAATCTCCATGAGCTTGCAATTCCACTCGGGAAGACTTTTTTGCCAATGCCTACTGGCCTGATTACTTCTGGGCCTCCCTGACTGCGCCTGCAAATCTACATCCGGGGCTTAGTTTCGAACGCGATACCATGTCCTACGTGCACACTCGGCTCGGCGAAAAGGACCTCCTCGCGCTTGCATTATATTTTCATCTGAGCTTTTCAATGAATCGTATATATGCTTGGTGCGCCAAGTAGCCAAGATTGCTTTTCAAGAGAGAGAGAGAGAGAGAGAGAGAGAGAGAGAGAGAGAGAGAGAGAGAGAGAGAGCATGTGCATATTTGCCCTGGAAATGGAAATGAAAATTGATTTGATTGCGGGCTTGTTTCATTTGTATTACCGTCGTTATTCCATTGAAATATTTTACGCAGAAAGCTGCGTTATGGTGGATGCCGGCTGTAAAAACACGGTAACGACATATTAACCTACGTTTCGGCTTGAAAATTTATATTACCTCTTCGTGCTGCGTTAACCACAACGCATAATTTATGTTTGATTTTCATTTGGAATTGGCCTTACATTGCTGGTATGCGTGCAAGTATTTATTATAAAAAAGAACAACGACAAGATTGTGGAAAATAATACAAGTCAATTAAAAATGTAATTAATCGCATGCGGGGCGTTGCAATAACGGCAACGATTTCAATGAAGCGAAACTGACATTGCACAATCGCATAGTAGCGCACAGCGTGGCCCGTAGTCATAGCGCAATAGGCAACAAAGTCTCGCCCACGAAATAACTTGATAACGTGATTTACAGTATGAGCAGCGTATCGCAGGCCGTCCCTCTCTACGCGTGTATATAGGCAATTTTTCCAATAACTCGCATATAGACGTAGAGAGAGAGAGAGAGAGAGAGTCGAACCATCCAATCGGCGGCGCAGTGCGCATAATTCACCGTAGGATCCGCTCCCGCGCCTGCTCACATACAAACGCGGTAATATCCTTCATCCATCGTCTAGTGCGCACACGCGCAATCACGGCATCGATGGGGCGAGCGAGCAGCACACACACGGGAGCCAAACGATCCCGTATATATGCATGAGCCCATGACGTGGCTCGGCACGATTAATAGCAAAGTGTCGCCGCGGCGCATCCCTAATGCGCGACTTGCATGTTACCCGCGCGCGCGCCCGCGCGAACGCCTTATTTATGATTTTTTTCCCTCTTTCTCGCTCTCTCTTACTCCTTGGCTCCCCTCCTCCCTGACGCCCCCGAGCGATTTATTGCGCGACGAGTACGACGGACAGCCAGATGGGAATTGTTTCGCGCCAACTGACTGATTTATCGCGAGTGCTAGAGAAGCTTCTGTTTGTAGCTTTAGCCTTAAGACTGATCATTTTGAAATTCCCTTTGAGATTTTTCATTCCAACTTCCTCCAAGTTTCTCCGGAAATTTCTACTTTTTTTGGTATTTACGACGATTACGTTGAGCGATTTGACAGCTATGCGATAATTTTTATTATTTTAAGATTTATCGAATTATTATTTTTGGACAAGTAATGCTCAATCCGACATCTTCTAAAATCATCGTCATTTGATACACCGCGGAGTAACCCATAAGGGTAAAAAAATCGTATTGAGATTTGTCATACGTCGTTATTGACTTACTTAGATTTCGGCTGAAATTCTTATTGTTTTGATTTTTCGAACAGAGTAATGAGATATTGATGATCAGAGCCATTTACTGAGTAATTATATGTACATAATGTCAAGATTTGAATATTTACTTGAAGGACAGTCGGATGTGCTATAAGTATAAGCATGTGAGCATCATGACTGTATATCGAAAATTATTGGGAGACGATTTCGAATGACGATAAAAAAAATTATTCGTGATTGGAAAAATACAAAAACACATTTGTTTGAAAGCGATTGATTGACGAGGCGTTTTTGTTAGGAAGAAACCAATCGCGGTCGTGTCGCATAATTGCCGCTGCGGCTTTTCGAGGGCGACGCCACTCGAGGCCGCGTCACTTCATAATATCAGCACACTCCAACACGTCAGCGTTTCGCGTCAAGCGCGAGCACTCGAAAGGTGTGCATGGGAAGGTGCGAACGATTTCGTCGACAGCGCGACCTAAAGAGAATTCACGCGAGTGCTTCAGGTCTTTGCTCCCCTGCGTCGTGCGAGGCTTCGAGTGTTTTTATAAAAAACGCCAAATTCGTTACGGAAACGACACGCTGGGATAAATACTTCTGAATTTACATACTGTCTACCAGTAAATTTTGGAGATGTGAAATATTCTGATTGACTTGAAATTGTCAAAAGTATATTATTCAGTAATGATTATCCTGAACGTTTTACTTGTATAGATATGCGTATCAATACATGTATTCGAAAACATAAATTTAGCAAAATATTACAAATCCAAATAATCATATTGGAAAACAGACATCTTTTGTCTCCTTTTCATGGGCCTTATTATTATTCCATAACTAACATATGCAAAAACTATTATATTCGTACAGTTCCTCTTATGAATAAAAAAATTGATAATGTTATTAGACATGATAAAGAGAAAACAGAAATACAAAATGAGACTGGTATTGTCTATAAATTTAATGGCAACAATTGTAATAGTTACTATGTGGGAATGTCGAAACGGATATTAAAAACTAGAATCAGTAAACGCGAAAGATCGATAGTCAACGCTGATAAAATAATTAATGGTTAGTCAAAGATGCTATCCGTTTCCAAACATATATACAATAATCTAAAATATTAATTTAATTTTAATGAGACATACATTTTAGATAAAGAAATGAATTTAAAAAATGACGTATTTTGGAAATGTTACACCTTAACGCTACGGACAATACAATTGATATTAAACAAGATGCTCAATTTTTAAGTAGTAATTACAAGAATTTAAATAGAATTATTAAAAAATACTTATAACGGGTTATGCTGTATCTATACTTGGAATACCTAATACTATATTCATGTCTTGTTGACTACTCACCCAACGTTGACATGCTGTACGTATACATTATAGATCTTTCTCCGGTACCGTTTAGTCGCTTTAAATCGATAGAGTATGTCGAGTGTAACAGCTAGTTTTCAAAATGACCAGGAAAAATAAATTTATAAGTTTAAATTTTCATGAACAACGTAATAGTTTAGACGTTTTATCAGTAAGCGTTGTGCTACGAAGGTTGGATTATATATCCATATGTGTGAGTTTTGTTTGTGACTATTTATTGATTTTAATCATGTTTGAATGTACACGAATTGTATGACTTATGTATCGTTGATGTTTATTAATAAAGGAACCTTGAAGAGGCTGACAAAGAGAAATCAGCGAAACGTTCGTTTATTTTAGAAAAATTAAATGTGATTAGTTTTATTTTTTAAGATAGGATGACTCTAAAATCATTTATTACTAACTTTGTTATATAATATGGAAAATATTAGTTATGATAATTATCATACTATTATGTATGAATTATCATATACGTACTTATGAACAAGTAGCTAAATAATTGTACAAAATATTGAAAGTATATAATATCATTTGCTCAGGTTGTTTTGAGAAACATTATTTGTACCAAACTTAAGACTTGTATATTATATAAGTAAACCATATTATAAACAATATTTAATACATTTTGTAATTACTTTATGTTTTTCATAGAAGTATTGTCTATCCTAATGAATCGTACACGTGCCATATCTACTTGAAGCGTGACACCAAGATCAAATTGGAAGTCGGCACTGCGATCGATTGCTTCCAAATGAAAATTATAGAGGACATGCGCAACTATAGTTTTCATCTCTTTCATTCCTAACTTTTGCCCTGAAAATTATAAAAATAATTTGATATGCTTTTCTTTCATTAAAAATACTATTTCCGATTGTATAGACTTTATAAAGTTTCAATTATTGACCTATACAACTACGAGGCCCTTTGCTGAACAGTACGTAAGCAAATGGATGTTGTTGTTTTGTATTTTCAGGTAAAAATCTATCGGGATCAAACTTAAGTGGATCTTTCCAATAATCAGGATTGCGGTGAAGATCAAATAAACTGATATAAGCTTCAGTTCCAAGTGGTATCGTATATTGCCCTAAAACAAACAGTCGGTATAAATAGTGAATCAGACAAATATTCATCAAAAATTATGATTACTAACCAGATTTACCAAGCTGTATTTCTTTGTTTATACTACGAGCTATATATGGAGTAGTGGTAAACAATCGTAAAGATTCTTTAGCACATCGATCAAGATATTCAAATTCCTTGATATGTTCCATTGTCATAAGGTTACCGTATCCACCTAATACATCAACGATTTCTTTTCGAGCTTTGTCCTAAAAATTATATAATTTTTTATAATTCCTATAGTTTCTTAAATGCCTAATTCTAACTTACCTGAGCTTCTTTGTTTTCAGCCAATAATAGAACAAGGAACATTATAGCTACACCAGTGGTTTCAAATCCCTTTTTAATTAAAATTTATTCGATGGCAGCGAGATCAAGAAGATAATGATAAAAATAAACAAATGTTTAGATTGATATTTTTGAACTTTTAATTATAAAAAATTTACCGCGGCAATCATAAGAATTGTTTCATCTAAAATTCCCTGGTTGTCTATTAAACCTTTTTATTCATTCAATAGTAATATATCCAATACTGATAGATTTTTCTTTTGTACTAAAAATATCAAGTACTTTTAATTAATGTTTTTGCTTAAAGAATTCCAGTAAAAACGATAAATTATTACCTCTTTCATCATCTTGTACCATGCCGTTTTCTACTCTATCAAAGTACTGCTTAAAAACATTATGACCTATACTTGCGTGATACTTACGTCGGTCTTCGATAACCTATAATGAATTAAAAATATAAAGTATACTCACTGAAACTAGAAACGACTTTATTTATAATTAACGAGCTTTACTTTTCCTGCAAAATCTTCGAGGATTTCCCACAATTTTTTTTGACGTTGTCCAAGAGGTAAATATTTCATCATCCAGTCTTTAATATATGGACGAGCGAGCCTTTAACAAGAAACAATTCAGTTGGTCAAAGCAACCAATTTATACGTTAATGGAAAAATATATCTATAGTAAGTTATTGATTTACAAAAACATATCGAATGAATAATTTTTACCTATAGAAACATATCTCTCCTACTTCAATAAATGCATTTCTAAACTGTAGCCCTTTTTCTTCCATTACTGTATTAAAGTCAAAATCCATTGTTGCTTCTATAAAATAAATGTGAAATTTCATATTTGTATAGTTAAATTTTACTGAAATGTAACATGAATAATTTTCAAAACTCTTGTCACTGTCTTCTAATTTACTTAGTGTAAGTTTTTTTCAATATTTTGTTTACCATAAAAATCTTAGATAATTAAATGTATAATATTTTTGAAACTCAGCTTATTTTTAAATGGAAGTAAGATTAGGAAAGGGATAGTTGAATTATTGTAATGTAAAGTATATATTAAAATGTGTTAGACATTGGTTTTCATCCTATATATAATATAATGTAATGCCACTTAATGACCTACCGCAAACAACTTCAAAAGCAAATTTCATAAATATTTGTGATGCATCATGTACGGTATCTTTGCCTTCAAGACGAAGTTCTTTAGTAAACGTTTGTGCACGTTTATAAAGTGTTTGTGTGTAGATTTCTAATATATTTGGAGTGAATGCTTGATTCAAAATTTTACGTCGATGTTCCCAAAGTTTACCTTTAATGTGGAATATAACAATTTTTCAAAATAGTAGTTTCAATCATTTATAGGTAAAATTGAAGATGAAAATTGTATTACCACCCGATACTACAATACCATTATTGCCACAGTACTTTATGTTGTTATATCCACTTATATCTTTATTAATATTGTATTTGCAAGATAGCAAAACCTGAGAAATCAATTTGTTAATTTATGAAAATATTCATAGTAGTAAAAAATAAATTGATAGGTTTTATTATACAGATTCCAATAAGATATATCTTGTATTCAAAAATATTGTAAAATATCACTGACTGTTCTAATCAGTAGATCATTTAACCTAGAATTTAATGTTTATTAAATGTAATATTTAAGTAAATTAGAAAACTGGCTTTTCAATATTATATTTTCAATATTATATTACAATAAAGTAAAACTTATTTATATATTTTTCATTGCGTCAATAATACCTTTACGTCGTCTGGATCACGAGTGATAACTCTGGCAGTAAAAAGCGTCCATAGTCTTAAAATCGGATATTTTTCTTGAAGGGCATGTACTTTAATCCATATTTGCTCTGTTAAAAAAAATGAATATGAAAGAAAATTCATAATGCTTTGACGAGCTAATGTGATCTATATATTATAATAAGAGGGAATTGGAAACGTTCAATGATATGGAATAAAAATACTATGGGCTGTGTTTTTCCAAAAATAATTACTTTAAAATTAACGTGATTCAAGCGGTTAGCGAGCTTTGTTGATATTAATAAAATCGATAGAAATGTATGTATGTTGCAATAAAGTAATAAAAATTTGATAATATCCTGCTATTTTTTATAGAGTACGATTGAATAAATAATTTTAACATTGTTAACTTACTTGTAGGTATATTGAATGTAAGTATATTTCCGAACAATGGCAAAGCCGATGGTCCAGGGATTCTATCAATCAATCTTCCGTACCGTCGATAACGGATCCAAATGTGTAACAGTGTCAACAACAAAGCAGTAACCAACAAATAAGTAAACATTTTAACTTCAACATCCACGTCAAACAATTTTACTCAAAAAATGTTCAAGTGTGATTGTATTTCACGTCTTATTACTTCTCGGCTCGAGCTCGAATGAAGAACTAAACTATTAATAGAAAAGATCATTGAAACCAGCAGATATTTTTTCGACTCGTTTCAAAGATAATTAAAACTTTTGCTTTTTCTTGAGTAACTGGTTTTAGTTCGTATATACATAGAACTATGGTAAAGAGCAAAATAATCATCAATGAAAAGCGCTTGATATTCGAATAATCTTTAGAGCACACATTGCCTACAAAGCGTGTTTGTTCTAATTAAGTGATTTATGACCATGTTTATGTTATTCATGGTTCAGTCTATTGGACATGTCAAATAAGTTCATCAAATACGGCTTAGAATTTAATCTACTATTAATCTACTATTATTGATACTAATTACTATTGTTTGTTTGTTGACTATTAATAATTGCTATTGTTTCCATTTGCTATATAGGAAAAATTTCATATTTTATATTTTTATTTGCATTCATAAAACTCTAATACAGACATAAGTCTTATAAAAAAACTGAAAATCATAGTTTAGTTAGCTATGAAAACTTACAGCAATTATTTGAAAGAAAGCTTCTTATAAGTAGAACATTATAACAATACCAATAACATATATTATTAGAATTGTTATATAAATATTATATAAGAAATCATAAGATATGAATGAACGATATTCTGCATTTCTTATGGATTAGTTTCATAAATTTTGTTCATGATAAGTCATATGTTTAAAACATTTATCGATTAGTACCCAAACTACGTATTATTCAACTATATATCTGGTTTTAATTAATTTTTAATGAAAATCGTCGACGAAAAATCCACCAAATACTACAATAGCAGTTTTTCTAAACTTATAAGTTTTAGTTACATTGAAAGAAAAAAGGAGAATCTAGAGCTTAACAACATATGGCACAATCAATGTATATTATATTCAATGAATAAATTATGACAAATAGTATTTCCATATCAATGCAAAAAGCTTGTAATGTAAATGACTATACGAAGTAGTAGATGATTCTATTTAAATTTAAAATGATAAAAAATGGCAATGATTTTCATGCACTCAAATAATCCGGTTTATTAAGGATATTTTTCTTAAATAGTGTCATAGATAATCACGGTTTAGTTTTTAATGGAACAAGGACAATCGTGCTAGCAAAGGAAGGTTCTGGTGATATTGCATGATAAATTCGTAATTTTAATACAATACACTTGTCTAAGATATTACGTAATTTTACCGTGTCACATTAATCTATTAATACCCTTCTAATCAGAATATGAAGAGATTGGTCTATCAGAAAATTGTATTGCTTTTAAGTCCAACGTAATAATTAAAGAACACAATAGAAAGTTTGTAAATTTTTAATGTCGAATTCAGAAAAATACATATTTTACATATATTATTATTAAATTTAGAAGTGTAAATTAGAGAATAAAATGTAATCAAATTGAACAATTCTTAAAGCTAAGGTTTTAAAAGAACCCTTTTTTCGTACCCTATTATTTCTTCACACGGATTCAAAGAAAGAACTATAGTATTATATTAGTAAAGAAGAATTGCTACAAAATCATCGTGTCTCAAGGTATAATCAAGGTTTTAAAGCGCATAAAAAAAAACTGAAAGCTGCTACCGAATATTATAGAACAAATTCCGCGGCGATATTTCTGTTAGGTTAATTTTTATACGATAATTAAAGAAACTTTTAAATGTTACTGTTAGATCTCATTTTGTTCTCTTGAGCTCTTGAAATTATCACATAAAAACATAAATTTATAGTTCTAAAACAATGTATCAATCAAATCCTTCTATGAAAATATCGTTCGTGGACATATCTGGCCAGTATTTTGGAAAATGAACTAGTTTACTCACCATAAATAGGTAATAAAGTTCGCTAATGATGCAACGCAAAATAGCCAATATATAATTAAATAAAGAAAATAAAATCGAGAGAAATAAGAACTGACTGGAGGTTATTGACATATATAAGATGTGATCAATACATGTTGTATACTGTTATTTTATAAAACGAAATATTAGACATGTTTCCATAATGAAGAAAAAATCTTAGTAATCTGAATGATGAAATAAGGTAATGAAAAATTGTAGATTGATAAGAAAAGCATTAACTTTGCTATTTATTTCTGCAATACATTCGCATAGCTGATTAAATGACAATATCTTTACGCAACGAGGAAAACTGTGTGGTATTATTAATTTGATTTATACAAGACCAATCTATTCATAGGCAACAAGTTCAGATATGAACTCAAGGTGAAAATTATACAAGATTGAAGAAAAAATGAAGCATACGACTGAAAGTTTTGAAACTTAAAAAATGAAATACACACTGGTCTGACGGATACGTTTCGTAAGTGGATGTAAAGGAATGCGGGTAAATGAGGACGACGCTCGGTATCGTGTACAATTTACTAGTTGTCTGAACTTTAGGAAACTTGGCCGCATGCATCAGTTCTGGCAACTTTCCTAACTAGTTAACATTTCATCTGTATAATATTCCATGACGTCCTACAGCGGAAACGACGACGATGGCTTACCACAATAGTACATACACATGACCAGCTCGTTTCGCGATATATCAAGTGTACGTATATCCTACATCCTTAATTGTGACATATTACATTCCCGTTTCATATCTCATTTCATTTTGTTTCTCTTAGAAGGGGCAATGTTGGGACTGAGAAGCAAATTCAAAAAAGAAATTATCGATGTACTCCAAATTATTTAACGGCGATTAATTTTAATCTACGAGGCAAAGTGAAACAACTTATGGAAAAAAATGCGTAAACGCAGTGAAGAAAGTTTAAGAAATCAGACTCGGCTGAAGTTCAGCGAAAAGATCGAGAGGGATAGCGTTAAATGGAAAAGTAGAGGGAGAGCGATACTTTTGATATAAGTGGAACTGGATATTAAAACTTATTCCGGCGCCGCATAAAGTATCAAAAAGTTTCTCGTCGTCGTCGTACCGGGGACGAACAGAGAAAGAGAGAGAGAGGGAGAGAGAGAACCGAAGAGAGCTCTCCATTAAAGCCCTGCGATTGTCAGCAAGTCCCTTTTTTCCACTCTCAACTCTTTCTCTTTGCTTTCATTTTGCCTTGGCTTTGCTCGCTGCGATATCGCGCCCGCGCTCTTTTTCTCGCTTCTTGAATCTATGATTATAAAGTTCCGCGAAAGTACGATCACTTTAAGCCCTCTTCGCCTTTTCGCCTCTGCCTTGCGCGTCCCTTTCTATCTCTTCTCCTCGCTATTCTTTTTGCTTTTTGTCCTGAGCTACGGAGGCTATCTTTTCCTTTACTTCTTAGCAATCGCGCGGCTAGCAAATACTTGCTTTTTCTCTTTGCTCACAGCGCCAACTTCCATAAAACGATTTAATGTTTCCAATAAACAGACAACCGG